TACAGAATATTTTAAGTATATACACAAAAGGGGAAAAATGTTAGGACACTTGATACGACACGACGAACTTATGAACATTATAATAGAAGGTAAGATAGAAGGAAGGAGGGGGAGAGGGAGACCGAGACATAGTTACATCAGACAGATCAAGGAAGGAGTTGGTGTCGTGTCGTATCAAGAGGTGAAGAGACTCGCTGAAAATCGTAGTGAGTGGCAAGAGCTCCACCGACAAGAGCGCAGCTCTTAAATGGATAGATAGACACAAAAGGGGGTCAAGTAATGAAAAAATATTAATATAAAAAAATAAAAAGAAATATTATCAAATTGGTCCAAAATTTTCGACGTAATAGCGCAATGTAAGTACAAAAACGTTAGATGAATTGAAAACTTTTACTTTTTGGAAAATATTTAATAAAGTAATGCATGTTGCATATAATGTGCAAATCCTCACGCAAATATAATCAAGTTTTGTATTCTAAACTAACAAACGAACAGACAGAGGCGTTCTGTACAAAGTTACTCTCGTTATTGTCCGTGTACTACGTACAATCGTAGCTCGTAGTATAAGCTACGAACTACGTAGCTGCTACGAGATTAGTTTTGTGTATCAAATAAATAATTTATATGCGTGTGGTCCCGACATAGAATTGGCCACCCCTTCCTTTCCCGTGGGTGTCGTAAAAGGCGAGTAAGGGATAGCGAGGGATGACCAGCAGCGTCTCTCTTAAAACATCTCCAAAGCCTAACTGCGTTAGGGGAGAAGGGGTTGTTAGTAATGTAATCCGCATTTGCCAATATCCAGGCATATTGCTAGCAATATACGTTATTAGGTCGATCTCCATGACGATGGTCTAACTGCCTTTTCATCATCACCTATCATCCCTCATTGGTGCCCCGCCAGCGTATACCGATAGCGCAGGCGGGGTTACCATTACATTATCATCCATTAAAAAAAAAAACATATAGTGTCAGCGTACGCAGAATACGTATTCCCGTTTCCCGGCAAATATTTATTACGCCGTCAGAACACGAGTATTTGCGAAGCGCATTTTTTTTCCCAACAAACATAATAATTGTGCGCACTCAGACAGTTTCTGCGGCGATGTTTTCCTCAACTATATTGCGTTTGTGATAATTACCGCGTCGGCGCCATTCATTCGTTTCCCTCACTTAGGTTAATTAATGTCTTAATCTTACTATTATCCGGTGAGAAGGCTCTAGTTTCGTTTATAACATTGCTAGATATTCATTTGTCTTATGGCTCGCCCTCCACACTTAAGGGTGTGCCCGTTTTATACTAATTAAACTGGAAACGTTGGATTGAGATGTAATTAAAGTATTTTTAATGCAGTTAGAATATATTTTAAGTGTAAAGCCAAAGAGAAATGTTTCCTTTACGTGGGGATTAGGATTTTATTTTATTATGTTGCTACGTTAATTAATTAATGATTATTTATTTAGTTTATACGACATATACATTCTTTGTAATGTTAAATACATTATATACAATTAATGTTATGGGAAATCGTCGAACCGTTAAGATATTAAGTAATAAAAGAACATATATATATATATATATATATATATATATATATATATATATATATATATATATATATTCAAATTAAAAGCACCTATATTCAAATAGACTTATTTACAATTACTTTTAAATCGTCAGTTTTTAAAATATGCTGCAGGGCTCAGAAAGTTGTTATCTGTTGAGAAGAGCCTGCAAGGAACTTGCAAACAGGCAAGAAATTAAATATATAAGTATACATATATTTATTTAACCCTTCTTTGCATGTTTTTTTTTTATTGATGAAATAAATCAAGGTGATATAATTTATGTTCAAAATTAAAGGAAAAATGATTAAAAAAATAAATTTGATAGCTATGTTTTTTTCTGCAATGGATATTAAAAAGGTATCCAGATACGATCAACTTAAAGTGAACTTGTTCTTTTATATAATTTTTGGGCATTCAATGTTATGATGGAAATTTCCACCATTACGTAAAGAAGGGTTAAATAATGATTATCCGATTCTAGAATAAGGGCATACGGGTATGCGATCCCGGCCTCCCGAGCCGCTGCAGGGTCCCAGTCCTTTCCTAAATTGCAGTGTCCCCCCTTTCTTTTCTCACATAGGTAAGTCCCTTATTCCTCTTATTTACCTATTTCCTTTACGCATTTCCAACGTTCCCTTCCTTTTTTCTTCAATCCTTACCTCCATACCGTAGGTGGCGGAGACTACCAACAAATGCATTCCCAAAGAGGGTTGACGTCAGGCAGGTGGCCGATCGTAATATGGATAAAAAAAAACATATTACGCCGACCCCAAATAATAATTGGGAAAAGGGTAGGAAGATGATAATTTTATATAGATCTTATATAGTTTATAATATTTTTAAAATCATTTTAGAGAGAAGTGTGGACTGAAAGACGATGTAGTGACAAAAAACGAAAAAGGAATGTTGCGGTGGTTTGGTCATTTGGAGAGGATGGATGAAAGAAAAATAACGAAAGAGATCTATCGAGCAAGAATGAATGGAGATGTCGGTAGGGGCCGCCCTAGACGGACGTATGTCGACCAAATAGGCGACGTGCTGAAGAAGGGCCAAATTAAAAGTACCCGTAACCGGCGAGCGTGTATGAAAAGATTGATGAATGTGGACGAAGCGAAAGAGCTTTGTTTGAATCGAAGGATTTGGCGTTCCATTGTTTCTGCCTACCCTAATGGGAGACAGGCGTGACAGATATGTATGTATGTAATAATTTTAGTGGAATACGGAAAAACTATAGATGTAAAGTAACGGAATAGTTATTGCACCAAATTATATAGGTACTTACCAATATGGCGATGAGTTTACAAGACGATGTTGCATACAATGTAACCATCTTTTTTGTTAATAAAATATTTTACGTACCGAGACCAATTTAAAATATTGCGGACCAGTTCCAGCGACCACACGAGTAACTTTGCTTAACAAAAATAGCTCTTATGTACTTCCAATAGATTTTATACTCGTACATACATAATCGGATTATACATTTTTGCTATTGTAAGAAGCAAATATGGTTTTACAGCGTCTAACAAACGTTTTATTGGGAAAATGCTATCATTTTCGGCGGTAGGTTTTCTTTGTAAGGGTTTAGTGAACTGAGAAATTTCGGATTATGTATTTATAAGGCCCATTGTACGGTTGTATGGTTTTCTTTTAGGGGATTTTCTCGAACGTACATTCGGTGGGTGACATATTTGTAAATATCGTTATTAATAAGGTTGTATTACACAAAAAAAAAACCCATTATTTCCTTATCCTTAAAGTTACTATTTCAAAATATTGGTATTTGTTTGTTAGTGTTTAATTAGTAATTAATAAATATTTTGCTTATTGTCTAAATGTTAGTAAGAGGGGGAAAGGGATTGTTAGTAATGGAGACTGAGAATCCCATTACTAGCAATATTCCTAACCAGGTCGACCTCCTCGCGGTTCCCCCTGGAAACTATCATGGTTAATTCCTGATGAATTCATCATGATGGGCTAACTGGCCTGTTTTCATTCTCATCTATCACCCTTCACTTGTGCTCCGCCAGCGTATCCCGTTAGCGCACGTGGGGTTACCATACCATTTTAACCCATCAAAAAAAATGTTAGTAAGAGTTAGTTTTGTTAATGGATATGGACCCCTCCTCCGGTGAAGGCCTCCTCCAGTCCTTTCCCCTCATCTCTGTCCTTGTCGATAGTTTGCTAATCCTTTCCTGTAAATTCAATTATGTCATCGACCCATCGTCTTTTAGGTCACAAAAAATAACCTACTTTAATTGTGTGCCAGTTATTTTAATTTCAAGATTTAATTATTAAACCGAATTGTACAAAATTTTTACAGGACCAATCTGTAAGTATATCCTTTCAGAGAGTGAAAGAATTTTCCGAATCGGTTTACAACTGACGGAGTTATGAGGTGACAAACATAAAAAAAATACAACCTTTTTCTTTTTTAAATCCTTCAAAAATGTTAATTTTTGATGTATTTTCTTGAAGGACCTGGCCCTTTAAAAATAGCGTGTATGTATTTTTAGACATGTCTTTGCTTATAGCTGTCTCCCTTCTTGATACTAAGGTGGGCAACAGATAATTATGGGGTGGGCAAAGGAAAAAGGGCATTTCCAGGCAAACCCCCCTCCCCTTTCCTTTAATGCCTATGATGTTCACAGAGATGATAGGTTTTGTCTCAGTCAATTTAATGGTTTTTTATTTATACATGGAGCAAATGAGCATACAGCTCAACTAATGGCAAGAGACCTTCGCCCACAATGAACACCGACAATGTACAGGTTTACTACAATATCTCGTACATTGTTGTTTTTTTAAAGAGGTTGTGTTTAGTTTTGTTTGTTGGTATTGGTTGGTATTGTGGTTTCTAAAGAGGAATATGCTCTTTTCTTGAAGTCGTATCGGTTTGGAAATATTGTTGCTGCTGAAAGTGGAAATTATTTAAAGTCTCCCTCTGGTAAAATGGTTAGATAATCATTGTATTTGACTGAAATTTATTATTATAAAATTCATCATTATATCAGCCGTAAGAAACGAGTCACTTACATCCACTGACTCCCTTCAATGTATTTGAGGTCGTCGCTCTATCTATTGGAGGGTTGTCCTACTGCGTTTGCCTATACGAGGTCGTCACTCAAGAGCCTTTCATCCCCATCAGTTGTTGGTTTTTATTTCTTTTAAAATTATTACGTTTCAAGTTTAAAAGAAGTATACAAGTACAGAGTTATTGCTGAACAAAAACATTTTGATTACCCATGGCAATGACCGTAGAGGTTGCAAATGACCGCATCGCACCACGTGCGAGACGAAACGAGAACTTCCTGCGGCCGTCTCGCTCGCACACCACATTTTCCCCATAATACCATATTGTCCACCTTTTCCAACGGGGAAAACTGTAAGGGCTGCTTCCGAAGCCGTTTCAGTTTACGTCGCGAGATCGCGGCGGCCGGACGTGTGTTTCGCGACGGTTTCGTTGCTTCCGCATTCGCGTAAACTGAATTTGCATGGCTGCGTAAGTTTTTAAACTTCGCGCTTGTGACGTCACGCGTTTTAATCATCGACTCGCTTTTTAAACATTGCATTTGTTAAAACTAATACAAGTGATTCAATATTTATGTGTAATTTTTAATATTAATAAAATTAAAAGATATTGTGTAGTGAGTGTCACTGTGGGTGGATATATTTTTTACTAAGTTATAACTAAGTTACAAATGGTCTAAGTGATTAAGCTAAGAATTGTGATAAGTGGCCGTGTACCTTACATTGGGGAAGTTGTGTAGTTCAAATTATTTGGTAAGTTGGAAAATATTTAATTTAACTTAAAATTAATTTGAATATATATTTTCGATTTAGAATTTTTACCAGAGAGAGACTTTGTACAAAGTCGATTGCTTGGGTACCTCTGTCCCATTCGTGTTTCAACCGTAAAGCAGTTGTGTTTGCATGGCTGTGTTTCGGTTTGAAGGGCGTGATATGGCGTGAATTTGCTGGCTGCGGCGGAATAATACCTGAGTCCTCAGGAATGGCAACGCATGGGGGTATCATGGACGAAACAGTATACTCTGTTATGTCCATGGTACTGCTCATGTCTATAGGCGACGGTTACCACTTTCCATCAGGTGGGCCGTCAGCTTGTTTGTCATTCTAAGTTGCATAAAAAAAAATTAACGTGAAAAAAATTTAATTAATTTGTAAAAAATAAGAAATAATATAAAGATTTTTTTTATGTTTCTTAATGTGTTACAAATATTAATATATTAGATAATTATTTAAGATATAGGTTTATGTTACACTTAATATGACTTAACTGTTAACGAGCTTAATTCTGCAACTGAGTTTGGAATATTTCTCTATTGAAAGAAGCGGCAAGTAAATATAGGGCTTCTAAATGATCCCATGGATGCTTCCAGAACTATTTCAAAGATAGATAATTTATTTGTATTACTTACAGCACACAAATTATAACATATACAGATATACATAAGAAGCGATTTAAAGAAATTATTAAAAAAAAAAAACATATAAAGACAAGTACAATTTTTCATTTTGTGCGTGTGCCATAACAATACAAAATGGTCACAACTCAGTTTATTGCTTCGTCCTCAAAAGAGCAAAGCAATGATATTCTATCGTGGCAAAAAGGAGAAATGCATTTGCATTTATATACTATATTATTTACTAGTAAAATATAAATAACAGATGTATGTTTTTTTAATAAGTTTGGACGAAAACCTAGATGTCTAGAATTATTCAAATAGTAATTAAAAAAAAAAAATTCTTAATGTTTCTATGTATTTCTTTCCTGGCAGAGGGGTGCAAGTGTGCCCCCTTGCGCCCTGGTGCCGGCGTCCATGAATGATTTCTTGAACTATTTATTTATTGATCAGTACAAATATGTGTACATGGCGGACTAAATGCTAAAAGCATTCTCTCCCAGTCAACCATAGGAAAGTGTCAGAATACTCGAATGCGGTACTAGTAGTTATTGTTATACGTACATACATACTAATATTATATATACCTCTATATAAACGAATAAATATAGATATAAATGACAAATATAAAACCCTACAGTTCGTTTCATGGTAAATAGTCACTTTAGCTTACGAACGCCTGCAACACTAGGGGTGTCACGTGCGCGTTGCCAATCCTAAAGAAATCTTAATACACTGTTTTAAAAAACTTCATACTGTAGTCTCAAGGAAAAACCTCGGCAGGGAGCTCATTCCACAGTCTGAATGTTCGCAGGAGAAACCGCACAGTACGAGACCAATTAGTTTCCATCTTTCATCTTTGTGTATTTGTGGGTATTTACGGTAATAAAGTATTATTTTTAAAACTTACATTTATTTTTTTATTTACATATATTCATGGGAAAGTTTTATAAACTTACCATGTTTGTCGTTTCTGAAAATTGTTTCTTCTTCAGTCAAAAGTTCTCTTCAGGGAGTATTTGGCCTTTTGCATCACAGCGTCTCGTTTCGCACGAGACGTGACGCTGTAATGCATATATATTTATAAACATTTCCGTTATACATACATATATATCACAATACATTGTAAAACAAAGTCGCTTCCCGCTATCTGTCGCTATCTATGCTAGATTTTTAAAACTACGGATTTTGATGCGGTTTTTTTTTCCTCTTAAATCACTTTGTGATGTGTGAAAGTTTATATATATACATGCATAATATATGTAGTAGAAAACATTGATATTTTAGAAGTATTTAATGGGTTGGTAGCTCTATTTAGAATCAGCATTGCACTCGTGCGAAGCTAGGGCAGGTTGCTAGTATATATTTATTACTTTTTTATTTATTTAAACTTTAATGCACAGTGAAACTACTCGTATGTACATATGGCGGACTTAACACTGGATGGCGTTCTCGACTAGTAAACCATTAGGCAAAACGTTATATTTATACGGATAAATTATTATTATATTGTTATTTAATGTATCAAATAGTCTAATTAGCACATAACCCATATACACTATTGAAATAGTGTACATACTGACAGAATTACTAATAATACATATCATATTGAACGTTGCAAGGAGAGATATAGATCTATTTGCAGTATTCAATGTGATAGGCAAGTTGTGGGATAATGAGCATTGCTTGCTTTGACTACTTGTTGTTTACCAGAGGGAGACTTTGTACAAAAGTCCATTGCTTCGGTACCTCTGTCCCATTCGTGTTTCAACCGTGAAGCAGTTGTGTTTGCATGGCTGTGTTTCGGTTTGAAGGGTGGGATATGGCGTGAATTTATTGTATACAGAGGAATAACACCTGAGTCCTCAGGAATGGCAACGCATGGAGGGTATCATGGTAGAAACAGAAACTCTGTTATGTCCATGGTACTGCTCATGTCTATAGGCGACGGTTACCACTTTCCATCAGGTGGGCCGTCAGCTTGTTTGCCATTCTAAGTCGTATAAAAAAATACTTGTAGGAGTTCTCATACGTGGAGATTGTTATAATAAAATAAAGTGACATTTAATATTCTGTCTATTGTTTATTTAAAATATTAATAATACTACATTTTAAATAGATAATTTAATGAATTCTTATTATTTTTAATTACGAATTTTAATTATTTATAAATAATCGGTTTTGAAATATTAAATTTAAAGCATCTTATATTATTCTGTTACTGTTATAATAAGCAAAGAAGAGGTATACTATTCATCTTTAATACGTAGAGGGGAAAAGATTTATGCCCAACAGTGAGACATTAATAGTTATATATATATATATATATATATATATATATATATATATATATATATATATATATATATATATATATATATATATATATATATATATTGTATTGCTATGGCACACTCACAAACGAAAGTTGCATTTGGTTTTGTGTATTTTTTTTTTGTCATTTATGTTATCTCGCTTTTTTGTGTATGTAATAATTGTTGTAATTTGTGTGCTGAAAGTAATGCAAATAAAATTATCTATCTATCTATCTCTATATTACTATGAGTAGAGTTTCATTATTATGGTGGTGTAGTGGTGTTGCCAGTCGTAATGATAAGTTAACTACTGTCATCGGACAGTTACAACTTGCGATATGCTCGGTCGGATGGTCGGATCGGACAGCGCCAGATTTTATTTTCCAAGTTCAAGAAAATAGAAATATTTAAGTGTGTCCAGCATTTATCTAGTATGCATACAATAAGTTTAGTTAGTTTTAAACTAATAATAGTAATTTTATTTATTTCGTTAACCTTTCAACTGTGTCATGCAAAATGGTGGAAAATCCACATCTGTGGCGTCCCGTGAGCGGACTTTACACAGACTAAGTATTTTTAGCGTATAGGTTTAAAAAACCTGATTTTTCCGAAATCTAATTGGAATTATACAAAATTCAGATTAGATTTATATTCCAACTAGATTCCTTATATAATTTCTTACACTACACTCTACTTGAATTGCATTGCAACTAACTGCTCTATGAGAAAAAAATGGGGTCATTTATAAATTACCTTTTATTTTTCAATTATTAAAAAACTAAGACCTTGCTGTATGTAAAGTTATATATTTTTTGTACAATATTATATACTTGATAAAATAAAAATAAAATGGCTTATGTTCCAATACATTTTTTTATACAGCACTTGTTTATAAACATGGACCAAAAAAGTTCCTCTTCAATTGACACTTAAGTGGGTCTCCTATTTCATTATTATACGTACATTCTTGGCGTTAGAGACAAGAGGTAGTTTGTTTACAATAATTTAAGCTTATCGCCAAGCTAGTTTAAACAAAACAGCATATATGACATTATTATCTATATGTCCGCTGAGCGGACGCGACACAGTTGAGAGGTTATACAGAGGTAGTTATATTACAGGTTTTGGTATCTCCTGTTAAGTAAAAACTGCTTGTGTTAGGATAAACCGTTCTTTCATAACTACTAATGACTAAAACTAAATAATATTATGTGGTAAATTATACCCAGCTTAACTTAAAATTATTATAAGTTAAGAATTAGAATTTAGTTAATTTTTCTTTTAAAATTCTTTAAGACGCATGTATTAGTTAATTTTTAATTAACTGAACGAATAAGTGAATTAATTTTTATTGATTAAATGTTATTATAAAGCAAATCTTAAAACTAATCACGAAATATATCCTCTATATATACTCTGTTATGTCTATGGTACTGCTCATGTCTATAGGCGACGGTTACCACTTTCCATCAGGTGGGCTGTCAGCTTGTTTGCCATTCTAAGTTGCATAAAAAAAAAACGTTAAAATAGATTTTAATTATCGTTATAGAATTACATATTTAGGCATATTGTTTTAATGACTTGCAAAATGTAAAAAGTTATTCACGTGGATACATTTTACATAATTTTAGACCTTACAGTAACAATATTTATTGTAATTGTAATAAAAATAAACAGTTGTAAATAGTAAAGTATAATAGCACATTTCTTGATACAACATTGTAATTTATTTTACAGATACCCTATTTTAGTAATATAAAACATGTTGTTTACTGAATCTTGTACTATTTGTAATATAGCGAAACTGCACGAAAATATGTATCTAATTGAAGGCATTGGTGTCTAAGATACAGGCTAGGCCTAGTTTAGAAACTAATGTGCTGGGCATAATGCTACATTTTATACCCATATAATTTACTTTGAAAATACTGTAAGCACATGACTGTGTATTTCTTGCAATAAATCTTTTATTATTGTTATTATAGTAAAGCAAAAACAAAAAAACAATTTTTGAGGTAATTTAACAATATAATCAAGCATCGTA